TGGTTTATTACTTATGAGAAGATGCTGAAAGCTTCTCGATCCAGTACACTTCACAGAATCTGACAACTTAAACAGAAATGCTTTAAGTGCTTCTTGGTCGGACCGAGATCTTTTCAGAAACTTCTAGCCCGTTAATGATAATATGACGTCAGAGTAAGTTATTTTCTAATACTATTGCTCGCACTTTTAAATCCTGGAACTATAACCTACAATCTTCAAAACTGTAATTGCAATGTCAGTCGCCATCTTGGGTCTTCCTGATTCTGTTTTTTATTGACATTTCACCTCAGTAATGTCTCCTGATTCTTTCTCAATCCGAGTAACCCTCATAACGTCTTTGTGGTATTGACGCCTTGCTGGGGGTGAAATGAATTGAAAAAAAGATTCAAAAGGTATTTGTCGTTTTCTACAAACATCCTGGCAACATTGACAATGTATAATGTGATACCTAAAAATTTGGAAATAATATTAACGATAGAATTCCATATTTAGGGAACTTAAGGCGAAAAATGTTGAGGAAAATGGTAGAATTAGATGTTTCCATATTTAGGAACTTAAGGCGAAAATGTTGAGGAAAATGGTAGAATTAGATGTTTCCATATTTAGGGAACTTAAGGCGAAAAATGTTGAGGAAAATGGTAGAATTAAATGTTTCCATATTTAGGGAACTTAAGGCGAAAAATGTTGAGGAAAATGGTAGAATTAGGTGTTTCCATATTTAGGGAACTTAAGGCGAAAAATGTTGAGGAAAATGGTAGAATTAGATGTTTCCATATTTAGGGAACTTAAGGCGAAAAATGTTGAGGAAAATGGTAGAATTAGATGTTTCCATATTTAGGGAACTTAAGGCGAAAAATGTTGAGGAAAATGGTAGAATTAGATGTTTCCATATTTAGGGAACTTAAGGCGAAAAATGTTGAGGAAAATGGTAGAATTAGATGTTTCCATATTTAGGGAACTTAAGGCGAAAAATGTTGAGGAAAATGGTAGAATTAGGTGTTTCCATATTTAGGAAACTTAAGGCGGAAAATGTTAACCAGAATGGTAAAATTTAATGCTAATAGTAGAATTATTAGTTTCCATATTGACGTACCATAAGCTGAAAATATTATTGGTAATTGTAGCATTATTAATCTCCATACAAGAAACAATTAGATTCCATTGGTCAACTTGTTAGGTCTGTTGAAATTTAATAAATCTTTTTATTAACATTTTTTTCAGAGAATTAAACTTCTCAAATCTACTGGAAGTTTCTAAAACTGATTTAAATTTCTTCCCCGCAGTTTATGTTTTCGTGGTAAGTTAATAACTTCATTAACACATATACTTTTGTATAAACCAACTTTTATGCTACCCCTGAATTGTTTCACATGAATTTGAACCCCTCCAGAAAAATTACCTGTGTATAGTGCAACCGATGACCGAAAATCTAGGTTTTTTATCCTCTTCAAAACAATGATACATCTATAGCGCGATTCCCTATCTTTAGTGTAAAAACACTGATCACAAAATCTCGCACTATATCCGAGTATATACAGTGTATCATTATTTTCTTTTCTGGTTACACGTACAAGTCGTTTTTTTTGTTGTTGTTTTTTTCTTCTTCTTTTTTTGTCTCTCTTAAAAGTGTTCAAGTGTTGTTTTTCCTATGCGGTAAAGATCTTCTTTTGTGATTGCGTAGTTTCAGCCTACTGGATTGGATGGTGGATCGTCTTTAAGATTTATGGAATTATTTTGTTTGAAGCGCCATTGTAATCACTGATCCGAGCAAACGATTTCATACAGATGATAGCGTAGACATTACTGAAGGAGACTGACGTGATGCATGCCATGCATATAAAACGCTAAATCTGGCAAGGCTATTAAAAGAACTGAAATTTTCAAGACAGTCTTACGGCTTTGTGGAATTTTGCTGTGCTGGAAAAAAGTATACCCGGCGCAATTTACGCTGTCTTCGTTCATCACTACTCTTATTCAAATACTAGATCATAATTTCTGTTTTGGATTTTTTTTTTATATCGACCCTCCTTATTACTTGAAACACTTGTTATGTTAAACCTTTGCCGAAGATCCTATGTCAACTCTGAACATTTATGATTCCATCTCATTTTCGTCACAGTAGCCTCTCTGGGGAAAAACAAGAGTGGTGTTTTCTATCATCAGATTCGTTTAGAATGTGGCAAGGTATATTTAAATGTTCTTAAACCATTTCGTCCAATTTGTGCTTATTTCCTCGCAAAGCATTGTCTAAGAAAAGATTAAACATTTTAATCTCATTCCATTCTTGTTGTGTTCCTGACTAACTTTGAAATGAGCCTTTCTTCAATTGAAGAAAAAACGGAAAAATGATGTTCTTCATCACCTGCATCCATATACAAAATAGTCTTAATTCCACATCACGTTGAATCACTGGTTGCCGCACGATCGCCAAAGTTAAGCAACGTCGAGCCTGGACAGTATCTCGATGAGTGATTACTTGGGAATACCAGGTGCTGTAATCCTGCATATGCGGGTGGTATAAAGGATAATGGCTCGAAATTGTTAATCAGAGAGTCGAGTTCAAATTCCCGTTGGGCTTATTATATTCACTTAGGGGCAAATAACCTTAATTATGAATTCACCACTTCTCCCCCAGTTATGGGTTAATTAGTAAAATTTATATCGCTAAACCATTATTATCTCCAAAATTATTCTTACAATCTATAAATATGTATTTGCTTTAAATAATCTACAATGGCTTGATAAACCTTAGAAAATGAATGAATCAATATATGAAATATCTGAGGAGACACTGGAAGCGTGGATAAATAAAGTCAACTGAATTTTTGCAAAATTCTTAGAATATCTTGATAAACCATTCAAATTTATAAACTTTTCTTTTACTATATTTCGTGCAATGCAAGGACCAAAAGCCACTCAAGTTAGAGGATTACTGAATTTTCTGTGTGATATCAACGTAAATATTGGAGATATAGAAGATAGATAACGATTGATTCTTGTCTTAGCGGTCGGGAAAACATTAATCTGGATGTCTGTTGCCCGATTTAGCGGTTCTTGGAAATATGCTTTCCGAGTGTATTATCGTTCTTGCGAAATGAATACCTATAGAATGATCCTGATTCAACCCTGTGGTTATAGTTTGGGGTACTATCGTCGTTGAATATTTCTGTATGATAGCTGGTCGCTGACGGAAGGTATAAAAGGTGAGATTTTGCCAAAAGTGATGCGAGATTTTGCCAAAGTAGATTTGTACGAGATATGACGAATTATTCAGGAAAAACTGTCGCTCCTTATATCGTCTCCTGTAGGCACTTGTCGATTTCTTTTGATAGTCTTTCATACGTGTTCAGCGTTTTTTGGGGTGTTCTGAACGTTGACCTCTTTCCAGAACATGAATTGCTTACATCGGATTTTGTTGCGCTAGTGCCAACATCTTACCGGGAGAATAAATTAATTTCAATCATCTGTTTTAATCATTTAAATAAATTCCGTAAATGAATTGTCCTGATCTAAAGGAAAACCCGGTCTCTTCATACACGTGCGGTAAGATTCTATTTGTTGCTAAGCTATACCGAGGCCTCGGAATCTGTTCGAAAGTTATTTTTTTAAAGGCTGGATAGTTTCAAGGGAAGAGTTCGTATCAATGTTTTCTATCGCTGTAAAAGAAGTGTTTGAAACGAAGCTAAAGACTTGACTTTTATAGGCTGTATTTCATGACAGGCAAGTCAAATGAACTTGAAATATTGCCGCAATACAATTATCGTATCTTCAGCTAAGGTCAATCTGAGTGAATATTTCTGACTACTCATGTACGTCTGGACATTTGTAGAGCTGCTAAGGAACTGCAGAGGAATATATTATTCATGGATTTTAATCGGATACTTTAATCTCAATAGATTATTGTTCTATGGAGAAAAAGGCAACAAAATAGAGAAAAATATTGAAATACTTTCTTGTTTTTTTTTAGCCTTTTACTTACTGACTTGAAAAACATGGATGTCTGTAAACATTTCAAAGCATAACATTTTATATTTTATGTCGCACGATTTCAAGTTAACTCAAAGTGATGTTGTTCAACAGAAACGAAAGGTTTCGCCCTCTCCAGTGTCATAATATCGATTGAGCACTAAGCTTTTTATTCTTACATAATATTTTGAATGTGGCGCTATACAAGTCAACTGTTTTTTTTAATAGTTATATAGCTCCAAAGTCTCCAAAGTTTTCATAATTTTATTTCGCCTTACTAAAATAGCTTTTTTGGATAAGACTTAATCACTTCTAATAAACCTCCTTCTGTAGATTTTATATGCATTCATTCTAAAAACTGGATTCCTGTTTTCAATGCGCAACGGGAAGATTTTATATCGGGAGTAAAATGTCAGAAATTACAAGATTCTGTGTTTCGATAATTTTGCCGACATTCAGAAATATTTAACTAATGCTGAGCATTGAGTGGCAGTATAGCAAATCAGGGATGGGAAAGTCGAAATAGTTCCTATGTGTCTTTTATTTGTCATTTCAGGAATGGGATATATATATATATATATATATATATATAATATATCCCATTCCTGTTGTATATATATTCCATGAAATATATATATAATATATATATATATATATATATATAATATATATATGCCGCATATATATATATATATATATATATATATATATATATATATATATATATATATATATATATATATATATTCCTGAAATGACAATATATATATTATAAATGACAATTATATATATATATATATATATATATATATATATATTATAAAGGTCTGGTCGAATTTAATAAATAAATTTATTAAATTGTCGGACTTTGTCTTCTTAATCAGGTACGCCATGAGCAGTTATGAATGTTTTACATATTCATGGAAGATTGAAAATAAGCAGTAAATTCGAATTTTTCTTCATTTTTGCACGTTCAAAATGACGGTTCCGTATAGGATGCATTTCGAATCCTGTCAAAGGACGAATATTTTTTATGAAAATTTTCGGACATTCAGGCCGGTAAATTTTAATACTGTTTATTATTAAACAGATTTACTTAAATAAATCTATAAAAGTATGTTAAACATAAAAATGTCTTTAATAAATTGTTGGACTTTGTCGAATTCTTAACATATATATATATATCTCCCATTCCTGAAATGACAATATATATATATTGTATACACACACACTGTTTAACAAATTATTAACGAGGTGAAATTTTACATTTTCTCCAAAAACTACACGTTGGAATTCACCCACATTTTAACAGACTGTCGAACTGAACCCTTTATTTCGCTCACTGGGGTAGCCTGATCTAGTTCCACACGCCATTTTTAATGGGTGTCAGTTATCAGTTACCTCCTGTTAATTCCCTCTCTTCAAGTTCTCCCCGCCTTAACCTTTCACATCCACTGGATTAACGCCTTTATCCACTTTAACGTTGGTTATCCAGTGACAGGACCCAAATAGTGTGTGTATATATAACAAACACTAATATTAGTGTTTAAGCCTTTATATATATATATATATATATATATATATATATATATATATATATATATATATATATATATATATATGTGTGATGGGTTGTTCTATTTATTTTTCAGTATCCCTACATTTCTACTAAATGTGGCACAAGGATGAGGTTTAACGTGGGTTTAACAGCAGTACCATAGAAAAATTGCTCCCCCCAAACCTCTTGGCATTTCCCCTTTTGGAGGCGCCGGTCAATAAACCAAGCTTCTTCCCGAAAGAGAGGTACCGTCTGGTGGGAACCTCATATTTTTTATACTTCTCGGCCATTCAGTCTATAGTAGAAGCATTATTGTGCTCACATGAGGTTTTTCTAAAAGGATATTAATGTTTAATGTGTTGCATGTAACGAGAAATAGGTTTCCGAAAGGGAAGGAGAACGAGACAAGTCTTGTTACTAGGATCTCCAGCGATTGAAGAGTATAATTTTTTACCTTAATTTTAATACTGCTTTGTATAACGCCACCTAGCGGATGTTATAAGTCCTCTGGCAGAAAAGTTGGACCAAAATAACACACCCTAAGTAATTTTTGACACTTTACCAATCCCCTTTCTACAACGATAATAGTATTCATTTGTAGGTGTTAGCATATATTATTAGACAAAAGAAATAACTTATTGGTGAATTATTTAAAGGGTGCCTCTCTATATACTAGAGTATAGTGTTATTTTATATTATTATTGCTTTGATATAGTGATTTTCCAAGCGTAGCTCAGATGTGGCATAAGGCCGAAAGTATGGGGTACCCAGTGAGGATCGAACTCATTACTCTGTCGTAAATTGTTCTAGCGAGATAAGCTTGCTAACCATTACGCCACCCGAGGTGCCCATATTGCTTTGATATATTTTAGCTTATTTGGAAATCTCTCTGAACTTTTATAAGCGTAGAATTAATGCTAAAAAATGTGGCTACCTAGTTCAACTTAACTAAATTTTTGACTACTTGATAAATTCAGGAATTGTTCTCGTCCGTACATCAGAGACTTCGTGTAGACGGTTAACGAACGAAAAGCAAAGACGGAATCTGTTCTTATGGATCGACTAGTTGTTATCATATACCATAAATCATTTTGTATATTTGATAAAACACACACGCGCACAACAAAAGTAACAAAATTAGGATCGATCTTTTTTTTTTTTGACTTGCATACGAAATAATCTCTCAAATTCTTCTCCAAAAATATCTACTAACTTCTGTCTTCCTATCCAAGAAACATTCATTATATTCAGCTACTCTGGGACGATTCACATCAGTTCGGAACTGCCTGTGTGTCACGTCCAGTGAAGGTTCTGATGTCCCTAAAGTATCCAGACAGTCAGTACTCTCCTGTCATTTGACTGACGGGATCTGTCGGGAAACCTGTCAGATTTAAAGAGCTTCGTTGGACTCCGGCAAGTCTGTGAGGTTGTTCTTGAGGTTTAGAATATATTGTCCAAAGATCCAGCCCGAAATAGCAATCTCAGCCACAGGCTAGAATTCTCTATTTCAAAGTGATTTCATGTTTGTCTGAGTTTGTTTATATTAGTGAAACAAGGCAATTTAGTTTGTGATAATCATAAGCCTGTTACAATTTGTTTCGCTATGTACTAGCATACTCGGCTTACAAATGACCCGTTTATTTACATTTTACATGAGCCGCGTCCCTTCCGGATTTTGTCGATCATGGCTCTCCACAATTTCCTGTCCGTTGTAGCTCATAATAAATGTTGTCTTTTTGTGATATCACCTAAATCCTGTTCTGTCATCCATTTACTTAAGCTCTGTAGGTAAGCCGTTGCTTTCCTCTGTCTCTCTCGCCTTCAGTCTGTCTTGTAAATTTCAAATTCCCCAAGCCTTCTTTCCTCATTATGTATCCTAGAAGTTTCAACTCTCTCTTCTGATGTTAAAATATAGGTCTCCTTTTTTTAATTTTTCTTTGCCATTATATTTTCAACGTCCTTCTGTAGAACCACAT